ATGATCCCAGGGTCCTGGGATGGAGCCCCACATTGGGCTCTCTGCTCAGCAGGGAGCCTGCTTCCTTCTCTCTCTCTGCCTGGCTCTTTGCCTAGTTATGATCTCTGTCTGTCAAATAAATAAACTCTTTTTTTAAAAAAATTTAAGAATTATCTCATATTGGACAGTTTTGCAAGGTTAAGTGTTTGAAGCCAATAGAAAATCAAGGCCCCTCATAGTGTTACAGCCAAATGATAAGCTCTCAACAACCATTTATCTAGCAGACCTGTAAACTTAGCACCACCCTATTCAGTCTCTTCTTTGGATGTTCATGAAAATGTATTGTTAGGAAGGATACTTATACTTTCTGCTGGAAGAGATATATATTCCTTAAGACATATATGGGAGGAAATAGGGTCGTGTGGGTCTCTACCAGGATAAGACCCACATAAATACAATAAGCCTCTGTACCCTTCATATGTCAGGAAAAGCACCTCTATACCCAAGATATTTTGAATCTGCTTACAAGGTCAAAATACGACCTCAGTGTTTTTTGGTTTTGTTTTTGTTTTTTAGATAAAAACTCTCCGCCAATAGACTCTACCCATCCTTAACTGGCTGATTTGTTCAGTGTTTTTCTGACCACTGGCTTCATCAAACAACCATACCTTACTTTGAGAAAACCAACTCTTTATCTGGATTTATTTAAAAAAAATTATAGGAGTGTCCCCTTGCTCTAGTTAAGGATTCTTTTCAATATGAAAATAATAAACTTTTAAAATATGATTCAATACAAAAAAATTACACAGAAATTTTGAGAGCACCATCATTGAACACACAGGTATTCAGTAATTACTTGCTGGTTGGATGAACACACCTATTGAAAATCAGTAGAGTGAAATGGACAAGAGCGTGGGTTGGGATCCAGTTATCCCTGTGTTCAGATTCTCTCTCTGCCGTTCATTAGCTGAGTATGACCTTCAACAAGTGACTTAACCTCTCGATATTCCTTACAGAGATAAAACAAGTGAGTAATGCTTCCTTTGAAGTTAGTTGTATTAAATGAAAGATGTGGGTAAATAAAATCTTGATATATTTTATCACATATTGCATTTTATCGTGTATTATAATATCAGATATGATTTCATTTACGTAATTCCTGCTTGCCTGAATGGAAGCAAATGAATGGCAAGAAAAAAACAAAACTGTTGTTATATTTTTGGAAATACAATACAGAAAACTATACATGAATATAATTACATATTTAATTTCTTCCTATGTATCTATAGCACCGGAACAGTGTCTGGCACATGGTATATGTTCGGTAAATGGTGATTAGCAGAATGAGAAGGAACACAAAATACTCTGAGGATTTGACTCTCCTTTGTCATATCCACGAAGACCAATTTTGTGCATAACATTCTCTAGGACACTTCATTGCACTGGTACAAGGAGGGGTAAAAGACCTTGTGTAATTGAGATTTTTTTTTTTATGGCCTTAAATTTAGGAGAAAACAATGAACAGGTATGTAAGTAAATTATGGCCGCTTGTAACAGTTGCTAACATCTCTTGAGTGTGTGATGATTAGTCATTCTGCTGAGTGAATACTGTGACTTAATATCCTGTCCAAGTTATTTTCATAGTGTTGCTTGCTTCCCACTTTCTTAATTAAAAATACTAAATGTAAATGCTTTATTTAATGTCCCAGACTAGGATAGTATCTCAGGTGTTTGGGGCAGGAAAGGGAAACATGGTACAAATTACTTCCGATTCAGAGACTGAACAAATGTGTTCCCTCAGGTGACGAAAGGTTTTTTTCTTTTTCTTTTTTGGCTCCCCCCGCCCCACTTTTCCTTCTGGCACTTTCAGTTTGTTTAGTAAAGTTTAGAATTCTCACAAAGGGCCTTATAAACACGTGTTATGAGATTTTAAATCTGATTTGAAAGTGCCTCTCTCCTACTCCCTCTGAGTAAAGTGACCTTTTTAAATGGAGGGAAGTGGGTTTAGATGACAGTCATGATAAATGCGGTCATGTTCACTCAATAAAATAAGGCCCAGTGCATTTGAGGATAAATCAGTGAAATGTACAGCCCCACCTGTCTGTCTCCATCATTCATTTCCACTGTCACTTTCACAGTGGCTGATGGATCACAGTTGCTGTAAAATTAGACAGCCTTTAATCTCATTTCATCCTGATTAGCTTCTCTTTACCCTTTCCCTCTAACTCACTGACTGACACGCTAAAAACTCGCACTGGGCTGTATATGAACATGAGTACAAACTTCTCCTCCAATACCCGCCTGTGAGGGCAAGGCAGGCACCCACCTCTCGAGAAATCTGGAAAGGGTCAGGCCTGGATTCCTTGTTATTTAAAAGGTAATCAATACGTGCAGGGCCCAATGCCATTTTAAACAGATGTTTGCTCTCGTTCACTGCCCTATTTATTTTGTTTTGCTTCAGGTTTAATCAGAAGTCAAATTAGGTCTTTTGCAAAACGCAAACATTGATTTAATATAGATTTTTTCTAATAAATTTGGAACGTTACACACTCAGAATAATTTCAAAGAGTTATTTGTGTGTATTTATAGCCTCCTGATTCACGGTAATAATTTTAAAAAGACAATAATTCAGGAATGAGAATACTAAAACACTCAGCCAAAATATACAGTGTATGAGGTTTAAAAACAAGAGCAAAAAATGGGAATGCCTTCAAGTAGCCTTTATACGAGGACTTCAAAAAGCTTCTCTCTTATTTTGAAGTTTCCATGGTTTAGTGCAATAGTTTTCATTTGTTTGCATAAAGCATAACAATAGGAGTAATCAAATGAAAAAGAGGCTTAAGAATAAATCATGTATTATTTCCTTCACTTAATTTCTGCTTGCCTGAGTGGGAGCAAATAAACGGCAAGAACAAAACGCAAGTGTTGTTATATTTTCAGAGATCGCGCTCTATTATCGAACTGGACTTCTAGTTAAAAAGATGGTTTTCCTTATTTATAAAGTTTGGGCACTGAACTGACCAAAAATTCAAATATCGCAAGAGTGGCAGTCGTAACAGAAGTTGGTTACAGCCCATGGCTCCTACGCGCGTCCCGTGAGAATAGAAGCCTGCTGATGACCAACATGCTGGGAGTCTACACTGCCCAGATGATACGACCAAGAACTGGAGTGGCACCGGGCTGTTCCCGACGGACACAGCATCCAGCACATATGAGTGGCCTAGTTTTCTGTTGGCTCTTTGGGAACTGGCATCATCATCTAAACAATGACGATTTTTTTTTTCTTTTGATGTTTGAAACCCATTCCATTTTTGTTGGTCTGCAAACTCAACGCATATTCTGCCCCACTGGATTCTGAGAAACTAGATGGTGTCCCTGCAGAGCTGTATGGTTAAAAGCATTTTCCAAAGAGATACCTTAGGGTAGAGGGACAAAAGGACATCCCCAAGATGACTCCCCAAGTCAGTGACCTAATTAATGGACCATACAAATCCACACCTAGTTTTCCACATTATCACAGAAATCAGGGGTTTCCGTACCAAGGCCTTCTGGCATTATAGACATAAGTTCAAAAGCAATGAATATTCATAGTAAAAAATAAATAACTAATAAAATAACCCAAACTCCTAAAATCCTTTAGTAAGAAGCTTAAATGATCTCATTTGCTCTTCCGGAAGCTGTGTTACAGATTTCAAAGCTATGCCTGTTCCTTATTCGTGGTATTTACATATCTTAGCCAGCATAAGTGCGTTCTGAGAAAAACAAAAGGTAGGAAAAACAAAATGAAATGAGAGATATATATCATCCAAAATAAGTTGGCTATAAGCTAGGCTCTCTGTCTTTCAGCACTGGCAAAAGAGCACAAAGTGAGAGCTGGCCCTGACTCATATTGATTTCTCACTGCACTGGTTTCTTAAGTGCTCTGTTGATCCGTGTCAAGCAATAAGTTCCCTGCCTGAACATGCACATCACCTCCCCATTTGTCCTCACCTAGATTTAAGGTGCCCATATGATGAGCTGAACAAGGACATCATTTTTCCTACTGGTGTCACTGGGTCCAAACCACCACATGTGATATGATAACTAATTCCGTGTGAGTTTACATTTGCCATATGAGACGATAATAGCAGAGGCCAGCGCTGTGCGGCACACGGGCTGACCGGGCTGTCCTGGCCTCCCTGTGCATGTCCCCGAAAGAGAATGTAAATGAAAACAGACAAATGCAGAGAAACCTGGCTTGGGTGGGTTTCTGAAGAACAGGCCCTCCTCGCAGCCACCACATTGGGGCTGGGGAGGGCCGGGGGTGGGGGTGTGTGGGGGGAAGGGCGAGACCAAGGGAATGGATATTTGTGATATTCCTGACAGTTTTTATCTTTGTTCCAGAAGAGCTCCTAAGCAGATAGATAGAAAATGTGTGATTGTGCTGCTAATGACATTGTACAGGAAATTAAGCATATACATTTGGAGAAGGCATTAAATCAGCAGGACCTTAATTTAAAAACTTAAAACTGTATGGAAATTCAGCTTGCTCATTGCTGTGGAATAGAAAGCTCCCGAGCACCCTGAGTCTGTTTCTGGAAAGATTGCCAGCAAACCAAGTCCGGGCAGAGCATCTTCATGGCTCCAAGTGTATGCGGGGTTATTTCTTCCAAGAAATAACCCCCAGCTCTGACCACTTGGGAGGATCGGTCGTTGTTTTAGAATGCAATCCCCGTCATCAGGCAGGTGAGGAGAACTTCAGAATCGAAAGCAGCAAGACAGGTTGTCCTTGACTAATTTGCCGGATAACATTATGTAAAATTAGTCAAAAGGGGTTGGGTTTGAAATTGCCGGGAACACACACGGCTGAGTCCCTGTGGATGGGTGGGTTCCCCGCTCTGCTGCTTATGCTCTCGTCTTCCTTCCGACTTACTCTCACATTCTGTGCCCTTTGGTGGAAGCAAATAACTAGGGTGCCAAGGTATCCAGTCATAAGATGGAGAATTTCATGCGTCTTTTTCTCCCCTCCCCCCCAATTCCAGTTATGCCGTACAACAGTGCCCACCACTGCGTTGTGGAGGTAGAAAACTTCTTGTTTGTGCTGGGTGGAGAGGACCAGTGGAACCCCAACGGTAACTATTGAACTCAACAAGTATGTGTGTTGTGGAAGACGCCGGTAGCAGCCCGTTTCGCAATTACTGTGGAAAATATCTTTCTGTGCACAGGGACAAATGAAACAGTCGGTAAATTGGGCTGACAATTGGAGGGAGGGTCAACCATTGAGCCGGCAGAGGACACACGCAGCAGAGCATTCGCTCATTGACTGTCTGGGGATTTGGCTTCGCAGTGACGCCCCGGCCCCTCTCCTTATCCATCCCCTGAGGAACGCCACGAGCATTAAGCACAGACTCCCCAGAGGCAGGTAGCAAGCTGCAGCTATTAAGAATTCTCACCACCTTCTCCACCACTTTTCTCCCGTTTTATCAGTACAGTAAGGCAGTTTCCATAAATTAGCTTTATCTGCGGTCATAACGCCTAACCCCAGCTCAAGTTCTTTGGCCTTGGGGTGGCTGCACCTGGTGCGAGGGCCCCTTTCAAAGACCATCCACCATCCTCCCCGTTCACGGGATTACTTCATAAATTTATCACAAAGAGAAACTGAACATTTTAACACACTTCCCAAGCCAACACAGGGAGAGCACTGTGCCTTGCAGAATTCACAAAATTATCGAGATATTTTTGGAACGCCTGCGCGTGAAGGAGGAGTCGCGGTTGTAGCCTTCTGTGTAACAGAGATCATTATGGCCGAGAAACCATAAAACAGCTTGCAGGTACACATTTTTACTCTAAAACCCCCAGAACATCCAAGCGAAATTACATATACTGCATATATTTTATTGTGAATGCTCTCTTTCAGCATCTGCACTAAGGCAAATTATAGAAAATTGTTACATCTGTTCACTCTAGAAAATCTTCAAGGAAAACAACCCAGGCCACCCTCTAGGAACATTTCTTTGAGGAGAGCAGGACGTTCTTTCTCAAAACCTGCCGCTGTGTTGGTTCCTCTCTTCAGCGTTCCAAAGGGGACAATTCCTGAGCTTTGTGAGAAACAGGTTTAGAACAGGAACAAAAGGGATATTTAATATCTCTCCTCTAACTTATCTTTGCAGTGACAGACTTGACGTGTCCCCAGAAAAAGCTGGCAGATGTGCAATCCGCTGTAAACTCCCCATTTACTGTTTAACCTGTTCTCCCTTCCTCAAATCGCTGAAGTGATCTGAATTGAATAGAACCTTTGTAAGTGAACAGTGCACAGCCATCAGGTTTATCTAAGCAAAAAATCTGCGGAACAGTCTTTCTGAAGGCCAGCTTAAAACTATCACGTGACAAGAGAAGGCTGCCAAGTCCTGTTTCTGGGGACGATACCCTCTTCGCCGGCCTCCTGTCCCAGGTGGAGCAGGTCTCTGTTAAAATGTCCGTATCGGTGCGACCACTTGGTGTTCACAAAACACTATGAACTTCCCATTCCTCTGAGACAGATCTTTTCAGTGGCACAGAAAACCTGCTCCCGGGGTTATGCCCCCTCCTCCTCAAAAGAACCTACATCTGCTTACTGTCCCGCATCTTCTCTACCAGAGCTGAGAGATTGAGTGGGGCAGGGTGGGTAGGGGAGGGCATAATGGACATAGTCCTTCCTCTGGTCTAGAGAGTCTAGGTTTTAGCTCCAGACTAATTCAGACTTCCATAAAACTATGCCATTGGACCTCACCCATCTGCCTTTCTCCACTCCTGAGAGGAACAGGAATTCCGTTGAAAGCCCTCAATGAATATGCTGCCACAAAAGACTATAGAAAACAGTGTTGCCTTCATGGCAGGGACACCTGTCACTGTCACTACGCAGTGTGCCCTGTGTGAAGAGCTAGGTGACAAGTTCTTGCCAGACTGTAGCACTGAGGCATTGTGTGCTTTGGACAGTTGCCACTAATGCATTCGTGTGATTAACGTGTCTCTCTTCTTTCGCGTTAGCCACTAGGAGGCTCAGAATTGAATTTTTAGTAAAACTTCAGTTTTACGTTTACTCTCAATCTGGGGCTGGCAGCTAGCTCTTTTTCTGTTAGACCCCCTTGTGGAGCTGTGGGAGTCCTAGCTGCAAAGCTGAGTCACTCTATTCTGTCCCTGATGTGTCTGGCACGTGAAGTCATTTGCTTAGATCTGGGCCAATGTTGAGGAACCACTGATGTGGCTCTCCTAAACAGAGGAGAACTGGTCGCGTGAGGAGGCAAGCAGACCAGTCTTCTGTCATTGGCTGAGGCCTTCCTCCAGGTCAGGGGGAGGGTGGGCAGAGATATGGCCTGTACAGCTGAGAGCGATTCCCCAGAAAGGGAGCAGCTATGACAGTGAGCGACCTGGGGAGCACAGCATCGGTCTGGTAGAGGTATCGGGGCTTGGTACCAAACACACCTCTACCACGGTCTTTTAGACATTTTCCTTGTAGCTTCATATTCCAACCATCTGGTCAACTATTACACACACACACACACACACACACACACACGCACACGCACACATACACACACCCCTTTTTCTTTCTTACCATGAACAGTAGTAGTTACTGAACACTATTTGCTAAGCACTCATCTGCATATTTTACTTAATCCTCCCAACCATCCTGGGAGGCCTGTTGCATGATTGTTCTAGTTTTGCTATGAGGAGTCTGAGCCTGAAGAGGTGACAGAACTTGCCAGGACACACAACTTGCACCAAGATGGGCTGATTCCGAACTAGGTCTGTCTGCCCCCATCTTCAACCATTGTATAACATTTCCCTCTCAGGCAGACATAATGTACTTTGTTAGATACTAAATAACAGTCATGTTTTTGCCTTTGATGTTGTAGAAATTGAGTCAGTATTGTATCACAGTGGAAAGTGGCTCTTATTCCCAAAGAACTCCTTATCACTTCTCATTTAGAAAACCATGCAGGGACTCAGTCATCTCAAAAATACGGGATTTTCGTATTATAATACCTTATGCAATTAAAAAGTAAGCAGCTAATACCAAAACTTATAAAGAACAGCAATCCTATGATAATATATAACTTTAATTTCATTGCTACCAGGGAGGAAAATTTTTAAAAACGTGAATTCAAATGCTTTGGATATGTCAGTTCCAAAAACAAAATCTTAAGTTAAACTTCAGTTCTTAGAAAATGATGCCTGAGATGCATGTCTTTGAATGAAATACAATATTGTAAATTTTAATACATGCTCATAAACCATGTATGTACTCATAAAATACAAATATAATCTCAGTTATCTATTATCCTGATTATAAAACCAAAATTTGAAATCACAAAACATATTACTTACTGGAAATTTAAACAGGATACTCTGTTTTTCTAGTCAGCTATAGATATTAAATCCTATTAACTCCCTTCATGTCATTAGTGATAGGAATGCATTATAATTTTCTAATACATATGCATATATTCTGTCAGTGCCCCAGCTTACAGAAAACCGATTTACATTTGTCCCTTACTGATGGTCATGATTGACTCCCCAAAACACTGCTTGGAGGAGACTTCCTTTCCTTCCCCTTTCTTCCCTTCACCACTGACTGAAAACTGCCACCCCACACTCCACTTACCTATCAGCTGAGGGACAGTCAACAGCGGTGTCTGGTGATAGGGCATCATCACACAAAGAGGAGAAATTGGGGAAGAGTTAGGAAAGAAATGGAAAAGATCAGAAGAAATTAAAGGAGTAGAGTTCCCTCACTCCACCAACACTCATTTCTTCTGATGTTCATTATCTCCTCCACATATCCTTTGCCAACTCCAGAATGCCTCCCTTCTTTTTCTCTCCTCAGTCCTCCATCCTCACTCCTCTTTCATACCACTGATCCTGCCCCCTGGAAATTCTTTCTTCATCTTCTATCCATATCACACCAGGCCCTGGTTTAGCCTTTTCTCTGAGTGAAGGCCACTACCAATACAACCAAAGCAAACATTGCTCATCTCTACCAGAAGGCACTCTGTCCCATTCCTGAATGGAGGCATATGTCTTCCTCCACACGGAAATTCTAAACCAGACTTCACAGAGAAACACTTGTATGTCTGGCGGGTATGCTCTACATTCCTATAAACAACATTTATCTTCCAGTGCTTTGGGGAATTAACCTTGGAGCCTATCAAGAATATTTTTTTTTCTAGAGTGAAATGTTTGCACATTCTACAAAAACTCCATTATAAACCAACTCTAGGTGTAATCCTTCCTTAAGCTGGAGGCTACCTTTGTGGAATCCAAGTCTTTTGGGTCATTCTCACTCTTGGAACTCTTAAACCCCCAAATGAAATGTAACTTACCACCCAATCACACCACCCAGACCTTTTCACAAGGTCCTTGGAACTCATGATATCACATCCACAAAATCCCCAGAATCCTTGAACTCTCTCCTGAATGGTCACTTCCATTCTCTTTTAGTCGAAACCTGGCAATCTTCTGAGAGTACTGTATTCCCAGCCACTCCCTCTAAAGGGCACTGGGTTCTGCCCTGCCATTTGACCCAAAACTTCTTATTGGAGGCAGGTAGCTTTATATTACCTCTTTATTGTCACTCCCACAACCTTATAACCCACCACTTTAAAGGATGTCTTCAGGTTTTACCACCCACTGCCCCTTCACGTGGCAGCTACTACTCATCCTGGACATGACACTTCCTTCACTCTATCCTACCACTTTCTCACTGTCCATCTTCCTCTGATGTCCTTACTTCCTTCCTCAGTAGCTTTATTTTGCTCACCCACAATCACGTTAGCACATATACCTGCAGCCCTTGGCATCCATCTCTCCTTCCAAAATGCCTGCCTGGTAAAGCCCTGGCCAGGACTTAAACCCAACACTCTTCGCCCCCGTCCCTGTACCTGAATGACTAAATGTGGATGGAGAAAACTGCACAGGCGTACCGGCTTACTGATGAACCATACTGGCTACTAGCCAACCACACTAAATTTCCCTGGTCAGTATACTCTCCTGCCCTCTAAGTTAGCCATCTCATGTTTTCTTTCTCCTCAAATGCCTCTTTCTCCAAAACCTCCCTCCTCACTCTCAGCTGATGGCCTTGCTTCATAGTTCGTTGAGAATAGAAGCAATCAGAAGATAAAATCTTCATCTTGCCCTGACTGAGTCCAGTGCCAGTTATCCTGTTGCTACCCATGTATTTTTTCTTCCCTCTTATTGATTCTGCTCCAACCTAAGTCCTACGTATCATTCTCTCTGGCCTGTTCAAGGACTTTCCAGTACTTCTGGACTTAAAAACACAACTAAACTACCCAACAAAACCTTCTCTTGATGCTGCATCCTCCAACTATCATCTTCTCCTTTTTACACCCAAAGTCCTAAGAAGCATTGCCTTCCTCTTGCATCTGTTTTCTTAGATCTTAGTCTCTCTTGAGGAGTATCCTATGTGTCCACTGAATCAACACATGTCAAGGCCACCACCAGCCTCCATGTTGCCAAATCCTATGGTCGATTTTCAGTTGTTCATTCGTCTCTTTGAAGCACTCTTCGACATATCTTCCAAAATATCATACTTTTCCTCCTATCTCTGACAATTCCTTTCTTTTGCTGGTTTTTCTTTTTGTATTCTAGGGTTCAATCCCAGGACCCATTATCTTCCATGCCCATACCTTCTGCTTAAAGGGTTTCATTTTGCTCTATGATTTTAAATAATTTCTCTAGACCAATGACTGAAGTTTGTATCGGCAGCCTCACCTAGCCAGTGGCCTACCACACTTCCACTTTGAGATCCTATTGGCCTCTCAAGGTTAAGTCCAAAACAGAACTAATGGTTTCTCTTCCCAACCCCCACACTGCTCTTGCCTGGTCTTCCCTACTTCAGTAAATTTCATGACCTTCCATCTGGTTACTCAGGCTAAAAATCTGGCAGCCATCCTTAATTACTTACTTTTTCTCATACCAATATTTGGAATATTGGAAATGGAATATGGAATTTGGAATATTGGATATTGGCTGTGCCCATATAATAGATCCCGAACTTGGCCATATCTGCAGTCTCCACCTACACTCAAGCCACCATCAGCTCTTCCCTTGACTGTTATAATGGCTTCCTGACAGCTTCCCTGCTCCCAGAGTGGCCCCTCTATAGTCTGTTCTTCACATAATAGCCAGAGTGATCTAAGAAAGAAATTAGGCCATGGTCCTCATTTGCTCAGAACCTTCCAGTGGCTTCCTACTGTTCTTATAACAGAAGGCATAACCCTATACCAGTCCTCAAGGTACACTGTATTTGGACCTTGTTATGCCTCTGATGTCTGTCCAAGTCACCCCCGCATTTTGCTGGTTTTGAACTCATGGCCAACCCCAGGGACTTTCTACTCACCTGGCCCACTATGTGAGAGACTTATTCTGCAGATAACTTGCATGGCTGGCAGAAGACATCTCTGGAAAGGAATGATTCTTTTTAAACTAGCCTCCCCCATCAATCCCTGCTTTTCTTTATAGCATTCACCTCTGCTTGAAAATATATATTTCTTTATTCATTTACAAGAACAGGGACTTTTCCTTTCTTGTTTACCAATATATTCTCAGAACCTAGAACACATAAGACATATAATAAATAATCAGTATATTTATGTAATTAGTAATTATGTTGGATATACATGCCTGTGTGAGCATGTACACACACACACACACGCACACACATTCCTATCTGTTTACTCCTGTGGTAGAGCTTGGTACCTGTATTTCCGTGTTTAATTACACATGTAAGAACAAAAGCAGACTTTCAGAGTTAAAACTTCAAGTGCTTTAGATGACTGTCATCGCAGGTGCTACACAGAAAATGCTTCCATTTCTTGCTTTGGTGTCAATCTGTGTGAAAAATAAAATTCATTTTAATGCCTTGGAGGCATCGCCATGCTTCTGAGGCTCAACAGAGGGGATAAGCTGGTTCACCAACTCTGAGGATTCCTGTTTCCCATTTCACACATGTACCTGCAACTGTGCTTCCCTCAAACTCACGTGACGTGCACAAGCTAAACCTGATTTCCTAAAACAAACTCTTATTACGCTGATCGCTGTTATTTCCATAGGGAGAGAGTTGACTCAACCACTGCTAGGTTCTTGGATCATTAAAAAAGGGGGGGGGGCTCTCACCAGAGATAGCACACAAAGCAGTCTCTGGGACTGATTATTTACAGACAATAACTTCATGTTTTTAAAGCCAAAAAATACCAAACCCAGAAATTTGTCCTCTAACTTTGTGGTAAAATTGGTTTGATAAACATACTTGCTTTTATTCTCATGGTTGATTTAGTTTTATTCTGACTCCTTCCAAAACAGGAACAAAAGGAAGGAAGGAAAGAAGGAAAGGAAGGGAAGGGAAGGAAAAAGGAAAGGACAGGACCGGAAAGGAAAAGAAAATAAAGGAAAAAAGGGAGATGAAAGGAAAGTAAAAATGGAGAGCAAGAGAAGAAAAAAAGGAAAAATAGTTGAGGGGCACATTTATTTTTCCACTGACATACTGCTTCTCAGACTGTGTTAGAGAGTCCCGCCAACCTAATTCATCTGGTGTGACACCTGAGAACAGAGACATCTTATAAACACTATTAAATGTACAAAACAACAAAGGAATCTAAGTTTTAAATGTCTCAAATATATTTTTACAGGAAAACACAGTACAAATTTTGTCAGCCGATATGATCCGCGATTTAATAGCTGGATACAACTTCCACCCATGCAAGAAAGGTAAGTGTTTATTTCTTATGTCTGAAACATTTGTGGCTGCTTTACAGGAAGTATGGATGTTGAATGATTTTCTTTGGTAAATTATGCTAAACAGAGCCAATGAAAGACATATGAGTCAAAATGCAAATTTTGGCCTGGCCAATTTGGAATAACTACTTCGTTAACTCAATGGAGAAAACAATCAAATAAGTCAATCATTGGTTCCAATGGAAGGAGAAAAAAATTGTATGACTTGTCTTCTATTACTACATTGCTTTGGATTTTTGGCAAGTGGAGCTAAAATTGCATCTCCTCTCCCACTTTTCTCAGTGATAATATACTTAATTCTATAAATGAAATCTAGAACGCCATTCTTACAATGGTATCCATTTTCATGCAGAAATTGCAGTATGAAATTTTCTGTTCTCACTAACTCAAATCCTTGACATTTGCCTTCTCAACTATCCTCCCATCATACATTCAAGAACAGGTCCTTTGCTAGCTTTAAAAAAAAAAAAAAAAAAAAAAAAAAAGCTTTTTTGTAAGTTGTCATCTTTTTTTTTTTTTCCCTGATATTTGGTGTTTATCTCACCCCAGTCTCCTGGCTGCCAAGGGACAAGTGGCTACTACTTTCATACAGTTTGCCTCTGCAGCTGTTACCTACGTGCAGCCGCATCTTAACATGCACATGCAAACTCCCATGCTACATTTTGTGCACTCAGGGCGCCCGGATGGCTCAGTCAGTTAAGCATCTGCCTTTGGCTCAAGTCATGACCCCAGTGTCCTGGAATCGAGTGCCGCATTGGACTCCCTAAGCAGGGATTCCCCCTTCTCCCTCTCCCTCTGCCATTTCCCCCGTCACCCCCCCAACAAACCCCCACTTGTGCTCTCTGGCTCCCTCTGTCTGTCAAATAAATAAAATCTTTAAAAAATAATAAATTTTGAGCATTCGATTCTTTTCAGATAATACTTCAGCATCCTCTCGAGCAACATATCCAACATAATAGCCATAAGCTACAACCTATTTCTTCTTCTCAAATGAATTATTTAAGAAATAATATTCTTTCCTGTTTCACTCATGACTCTTCATCTTTAACATCATTTTTATAAACATTCAGTTAGATTACACTAAGATCAACTTAGAGCCTTAATATTAAATTCCAAGTGAACAGAAAGTTTTCAGGTAATATCATTTATTCAAAAACGTGCATCATTGCAGGAAGACAGTATCCATCAATGCTAGGAGAAAACTCTGTATATTAAAGCCATCTTTAATATGTACCCTATACATAGGAGATGATGAGGCACAAGATAAGGACCACGACACTTTTAGGAACGTGTACTTCAAAGGTACCTCAAGAAACGATCCAAAGTCAGTTAATATCCTGACAAACTTCTCCGCCCCCCTTTTGTGCATACACGCACGCGTGGAAGCCTCCTGATGTGTTTCTCCAGGGCGCCTTGTTTCTCTCCCTTTGGGCTTATCTCTTCATGGCTCGGATTGTGGCTGCATCATTTTACCCTTTAATCAAAACCATTCCAAGAAGTTTTATTTAAAAAAAATATTTTTAAAATAAATATCCACAATATGTTTGAAATGGCAGCATCTCCTCATCACGGTCCCCTTTGCTGGGGGCTGGCTGCGCACCACGATAATTAACCTTCACGCCTTGGGTTTGGGAGGCATAACTCACGTCGCGGTCAATTATCTCACTGTAGAGCCCCTAAGGACGAGAAGTATTGCTGCAAAACCTAATTAGTAATTTTTTTAAATGTGTATTGTTTACTTGATATTCTATAATGACTTCCTCTGAGGCACTATGGCCTATCATGGCAGGGTCCTACTTAGACAATTTTTAGCAGCTCATTGACCTGATAGAAAGACCTGCCATGGTCTGTCGGCGCCCGGCAGCCACCGTTGACAGGATGGACTGTTTAACGTTTCTTTCTAAGTCATTATGGTATATCATGTCAGGTCCCTAGTAAGAGAAGTTTTTTTTTAGATCTCGAACAATCAACCCGATAGACCAAATAAAGAGTCCTTATAGAGCTGAGTGGGGAGAGGCAGATTTCACAAATGCCCAGTCAATCTTCTAGCTCCAGATCTTCTATGGGTTGATTGATCCAGGCAGCAATCCATAACTTCAAAGGAAAATTTTCTGTCATTACCAAGCCTCCATTCTAAGTAGCAAGTAAAATCAGTGACTGGCATGGCTTAATTGTGATTAAACAAAAAAGAAGAAAATACATGAGACACCCTTTAGATTAAAAAAAAAAAAGTTTCTTGAAACATTCAAATGAGTTAATTCTGCATTGTATAGATCATGAATCAGGCTCACCAGACATTCCACCACCTCCCTCCTTCCTTTAGTTGCTACCAAATGGATGAGAAGTAGTTATGCTGAGAAATTACCAAACTGAGAATAATAGAAACATGTTGAAAACCGCCTCTGGGGTAACCTACTCTTAGAGCTGACTGGACAGACTCTTAGGATAGCTCACCTAATCAGAGCTTCCCAAAGAGTGCTGTAATAAAATAGCAGAATATGCCCCACCCACCTAGTTCAGCCAGGAAATGGGCACACTGCCTCTAGGTTTACTCAATGAACTCACAAACTGCATCCCTGCTACATACGAAATGATTGCAGGAAAATATACGTTTAAATGTAATGCTACTGAGTTGTTTCAGTCTCAGATATAGGATTTGATTCCTCCCTGAAAAGGGGTTAAATGTTGAGACTAGGATCAATGGAAATGTTTGGCAACTTTTTTTCCAGTAAAAATAGACATTTTAGGTATCACTCATATGGAGACCATATCTCCTAGCTAGTGCAGAAAAAAGAAAAAAAAGAAGAAGAAAAAGAAAAAGCACTTTGGAGAGCACCAACAACAAAGTTTATATTTCATAGAGTAAGAGAAAAGCTAGAAGCAAATACATAAAACATTGTTTCCAAATTCAAATATTTTGTTTCTAGAAGCCTTAAAAGGAACAACATGAGACAATATTTTGTTTGAAAAATCTGTTGCCCTCTTTAACCTGATGGTGAAAGTCAAGAACTTAAACTGAGCTAAGGTTATAGTAATTCAGTCTCATTCTTTAGGATATAAACTGACCACCCTAAGGGGTGAGAAAGAACTAGTAAAGACCTCAACAATATGCAAGGTTCAAAGTATGTTTGTAGAAGTTGCTGGGAGGTTGCTGTCTTTTTTTAACTTATCACAATGCACTGAATTTTGCCTCTGGTGTTGGAGAAGGAGGAGCTGGAGGAGAGAGAGAGATGAACAATTTGAAATACACATAGTGTAATCCCATTTAAAAATCTTCAGTAATCTGGAGTTTACTTAAAAAAAAAAAAAAAAAAAAAAAATAGCCTAATCCTGTGTTCTTTATGTGGGGAGGAGGGTCAGGGAGCACTCCCAAGAGAGACCTGGTATGGTAAAATTTTAGCCTGGAGCAAATATTTGCAGTTGCTGACAGACCATGAACTAACTATCCAGGGCTCCTATAATGCATTTCGTGAATTCTCACTTTGGGCATGCAAGGGAGTACGTCAGAGGCTCAGAATCTTCACCATTGGAATTTCTACATAAAAATGCACTTTTAGTCAGGAAGTGAAACCGACTGATTTTTTTTTCCCCATTTAGATCCTAACAGTGACACTGTGTGGATAAAGTTAGGAGTACACACGAAGCATCAAATTAAGAAAATCTTGGCTAAAAAGAGAGCAAGTTCTGACAGGCTCACTCAGTATCACTGAGGAAGGAAGGAACCAGGACAAAGTGAGAGAACAGAAATTTAGACTGGATGAAAGGAATTCACACTACCACGAAGAGATCTTGCTCTTATTCTCCATTATCTAAACTTATTTAATGGAGGGTTTTCAACGCTTGTCATGACTAACAGGCATTTTCTCTTCTAGACCAGTATATGGCACATAGAAGAACGCAACACCTTACAGCCCACATAGTACAAATTATCTAAAGGTGGTTAAATTAGTAAAATTATTATTAGTAAAATTATTTCAGTAAAATTATTTCAGAGGCTCTAAGCCCTGTTAGAGAATCCTCATATGGAAGAGGGATACTGACATACTGTTGTATCCACGCTGCAAAGAAATATCTGTGTTCCTTCAGTCTATTCCTGTATTCATGTCAGTCTTTCCAAAGAAACATTTTAACTGAGAAGGTAAAAGCAGGTGTAGGACAGCTGTGACCTAACATATTCAATGAGAGCACAACTGAAGTCTAGTCAGAGAAATAGAAAGAAGCAATGAACATCCGTGGGCACTTAATTTTGCAACTGTTTTGAACCTAATATTTATAACCTACTATTATATTTAACCTAATATTATATTTAAATGGGTTTTTACTTTTCTGTAGTAGGAAATCTCAACATTTTTAAATCAATGATTGCTCTGATAGTCCAATTAAAAACTTCCTCCAGGGGCACCTGGGTGGCTCAGTGGGTTAAAGCCTCTGCCTTCGGCTCAGGTCATGATCCCAGGGTCCTGGGATCGAGCCCCGCATCAGGCTCTCTGCTCAGCGGGGAGCCTGCTTCCTGCTCTCTCTCTCTCTGCCTGCCTCTCCACCTACTGTGATCTTTGTCTGTCAAATAAATAAATAAAATCTTAAAAAAAAAAAAAAAAAACTTCCTCCAAATACCTTTCTCCAGACTTATATGTGGAATCTTAAAAAAAAAAAAAAAAAAAAAAGAAAAAATTACGGAAACAGAATGAATGGGGGTTGCTAGGGACTAGGGAATGAGGGAAATGAGGAGAGGTTGGTCAAAAGGTACGCACTTTCAGTTATAAGATTAAAAAGTTCCAAGTATCTAATGAATAGCATGATGATTATAGTTGCTATTGTAGTGTATACTTGAAATTTGCTAAGAGGGCAGATCTTAAGTGTTCTCAAAAAAAAAAAAAAAAAAGTAGCTATGTGACATGGTGGAGGTGATGGTGGATGGGTTAATTCATTTAATGGTGGGAACCCTTCCACAATGTATGCATAGATCCAATCACTGCAGTGTAACTTTAAACACGTTACAATTTTATTTGTCAATTATCCCTCAGTAAAGCTGGAAAAAATAAAACAAAACTGAATCCATCACCCTCTATAAAATATACCATTACCCATATAGTAATAAACCACCTATACAAACATAAAAGAATTTAATAAATGTCACTAGGAAATGTTCCCTTGCAAACATCTTGATGGCTGATTTTTTTTTTTTTTTTTTTGGCTGATTTTTTAAAAACTTGTTTATCTGGGTAATGTTAACTGATGGTTCCAAAGCATTAACAAAATGCGGGATCCTATGATGGCACTTTACATATGGACTTGCCAATAACCCTGTACGGAAGGTACCGTTAACAGCCCCCTGTTACAGAGGAGCAATCTGAGGTCGAGAGGGGCTGAGTCACATGTCAAAGGTTACCCATCCCATAAATCACGTAGCCAGGCAACCTCTTCCAGAGACTAAATTGTTAATCGAGATGCTGTTTACTGCTTCCCAGAGGCTTTGGCACTTTGTAAACACAAGTAAGAGAATCTCCCGATAGAAACCTCTAGGACTCTTGATCTTACTACTCCCATTGCCCGAGAGTCTTGGCACTAATTTTTATGAAGACTATACATTCATCAAACAAATTATATTCTCTGAGGGGCTTGGCACTTAAACACTGTACTTATTCAGTATTGGACCTCATGTTATCCCCATAAAGTATATTCCAGTAGCAGCAATGAGATAAAAGCAGCAAAGTGTCCAGGACTTGCTCAACATATCAACCTAGTCATCCTAACACCAAATTTTTTAGTCCCCTGTTCTCCCTCCGCTCTCATATCTTACTAGTTGCCAAGTCTTAGATCTTCCTTTAATATATCTTTAGCCTCAGCTCTTGTAGGTCTTCCGTAAAACTCTCATTCAGGTCCTCAACATCTCACCCCTCTCTTATGGTCTACCTCAGAATTGGTCTCCCTGTTTCCAGTCCTTTCAACACAGCTGGTGCCTTTGGCCTTTGAAGGCATAATGTGAAAATTTAATAAATTGCCACTCTTGAAAAGATACTAAAAAATACGGGGCGCCTGGGTGGCTCAGTGGGTTAAGCCGCTGCCTTCGGCTCAGGTCATGATCTCAGAGTCCTGGGATCGAGCCCCGCATCGGGCTCTCTGTTCTCTAGGGGAGCCTGCTTCCTCCTCTCTCTCTGCCTGCCTCTCTGCCTGCTTGTGATCTCTCTGTCAAATAAATAAATAAAATCTTTAAAAAAAAAAAAAAAAAGATACTAAAAAATATCCTGTAGCTTTGTAAGAAGGCACCCCAAAAGGCATATCACTAAACTTCCTACAATAGGTTATGTAAGAGCAAAATTTCAACACTAAATTCAGTTCACGAAAGTTTCTCTATTTGCAGTAGTACTGGGAAGGAAAAAAATGATAATTGAAGAAAAATTTTGATGATGTAGTACTCTTATAAATTGGGAACAATGACCCTTGAAGGACCGTGAAAAAAGTGAATGTCAAGATAATTTATTATTGTTACATTATCTACCTCATTTTTCACTTTGTCTTACTGAGCTGTGATATCCTTACAAGGTACCAAATATCCCAAACATTAGTGAACACTCTTTACAGTGTATAAAAAAGGAGCTGAAACAGAGTTGGTGAATTTCTCCTCCACTCTTATTTTAATACAAAATGTTAACCAGAGGGGGCAAGGCATATGATTACTGTCAAGGTCTCAGATTTAGAAGGGGCTGTATGTGTAGTTTCCAAGTTCCTGCCACCCTTTCTAAAGCAGGATTTACCTCCTTTGCCTGACTGAGCTCCTTTTGTGATTTACGGTGGGTTGTTGTTTTCGTTGTAGAAGAGCCAGTTTCTATGCATGTCGGTTGGACAAACATTTATACGTTATTGGTGGAAGGAACGAAACCGGCTATCTGTCCAGCGTGGAGTGCTATAACCTAGAAACAAACGAATGGCGGTATGTGTCCTCCCTGCCACAGCCTCTGGCAGCTCACGCAGGAGCAGTGCACAATGGGAAAATATACATTTCAGGCAAGTCATTTTTCCGCTTTCTGTTACCAAATTCAGTTCCAAGGCACTTTCTTGACTTGTATGTATATGTTTAATTCACAGGGGGTGTACACAATGGAGAATATGTCCCATGGCTGTATTGCTATGACCCTGTAATGGATGTCTGGGCTCGAAAACAAGATATGAACACAAAACGCGCCATCCACACTTTGGCTGTAATGAATGATCGCTTGTATGCAATTGGAGGAAATCATTTGAAAGGTCTTTTTTCTTTTTTTTTTTTTAAATCACAATATCATTTGCATCTTATGTTTCTTGCTAAGGGGGTTTCTCGTTAGATAATCATAGTTAACCAAGTAAAAAACATGTTGACCAAATAAAAGCGACTCTGTGTAAATTAGCTGTACCCTTGGGCAAGCATTTATTTTGGCTCCTCTGCAGATAGGATTATTTTTAAGTTACCGCACACATTAAAGAAATGAATAATGATGTCAACAGAAAGTAAAAAACGAGAGCATTAATAACTGAAAAGCACAAACAATTTGTTGTAACAATGAATTCAGTAAAATAAATTATTCCTTATCACCAAAGTTATAGTAATAAATTTTTTCCAGAAAATTGTTTTTTGTAGTAATCATAAAGAACTTCAGTCATAGATGCTCAAAGAAGCTAATACGTGATTTTTCTTAAAGAAAACATTTCGTAGAATTTCATGTCTAAATTTAGAATTATTTCTTTGAAGAGTTGGATTCCAAACATTCTATGACTCTCAAATTCTTTGTTTTATTAATAAAAAAAATTTAAAACGTGGTATTTTTAGAGTTTCGTCTGAGCTCCTTTCCTTCTCCGTACATGTGTATGACGACAACTTTCTGTAGTTTGTGTGTGTGTGATGTTACGCACGTGCACAGCACACTGGGCACAACAGGGAAGCTGAGAGAGCTCTGGTGTTGAGAAGAGTCCCTGAACTACTGGTCTCCTCACCTGAAAATGAAGAAACTGGTCTAGCTGATCTCTAAAATCTCCTCCAGCTCTGACCTGCCATGATCCTTGAAACTGACCCAAACGAGAAACAGGTCATCCACGTGTGGTAGCTGAGGATTTATTTTTCCATAGTACACCCATCTCAAAAAATGGGTTAGATGTAGACATTCCTTCTGGATTTCCTAATACATATGTACCCCTAGTGTAATTAAAGACCACACAGGCTTAATGTTTATGTAAATATTTCCAAGTTCCTACTCAATCCTCAATGTCAATATCCTGGTCCCTGCTGCTCATCTTTGTGCTCAGTGTGAGATTATCTTTGCTGCTATAACTCTTACTTTTTTGTTCTTTTGTCTCTCACTGCTGCTCCTTCATTTCAATCCAAACACCATTCCTTTACATCAGAATACTTGTATATAGTATTACCTTTGTGGCTTTCTATATTAAAATGTGAATTCCGCTAATTTCTTTTGCATAATAATGACGAAACATTCTAGGAACTCTTGAATTTTGAGGTTAAACTTGAACAGAAAGATTTGGGGAATGACAACCTAAATGAGAAATAACACACACACATCAAATTAGGTTGGCTCAGGGGCACCTGGGTGGCTCAGTGGGTTAAGCCTCTGCCCTTGGCTCAGGTCATGATTTCAGGGTCCTGGGATCAAGCTCCACATCGGGCATCTGCTCAGCAGGGAACATGCTTCTCTCTCTCTCTGCCTGACTACTTGTGATCTCTCGGTCTTTGTGTCAAATAAATAAATAAAATCTTAAAAAAAAAATTAGGTTGACTCAAGGAGTCATTACGGCTTAGAGGGAAAGGTGTGGGTTTGTGTCCCAGTTATGCACTTGGAGTTGTGTGGTCTTATTCAAGACACTCAACCTCACATCTATAAAAGAGGGATAATTATCCTTTCCTTGGTAGTTTTTGTGTGAGGCTTACAGTCAACATATGTAATACATGTACTGGGCACAGTGCCTTCTGTGATACCACTAGAACTTCAGCCTGGGAATTTGCTCCAATCTTCAGTCACATATATTATCATCAATAATCTTAATGGTAAAGGAGAGAAATACACCACAGAATTCCAGTAAGCCCTTTGTTCTACCGTTCCCTATCTGATTTATTTTACATAAGAAGTTACGTAAGAAGTTCAGTGGCCTGAAATAATTTGTCCACCTCTTCCAAAATGAAAATTACTCTACTTTTTGGTCTATCTTCTCAATTACTTTGAAGAGTCAGTAAGTTGATTAATTTAGTGTATGCATTGTAATTGCCAGCTAGCAAATATCCATTGCATGCATTTAAATAGAGGAATATTTTACTTAGGATTTGGTCTGCTCAATGACCATGAAGCCCTCCCTCTACAGATTTTTGACTTCCTAAATTAAAAAGCAGGGCCCCAGTAGAGTCCCAAGATCTTAAGTTGTTCTCTGCCACCTGCTTACTGACCAGTCACTGAGAAACTTCATCAAAGTAAGAGAAGAAGCCCTCAGCAGAAGTAGCCCCTGACTCTACCTTAATCCTTAGTAGATATTGGAAATCACTCATACCATTGTAATTATTTATAAACATAAACTATTGGGGCAGCTGGGTGGCTCAGTCGTTAAGCGTCTGCCTTTGGCTCAGGTCATGATCCCAGAGTTCTGGGATTGAGCACTGCATCGAGCCCTGCTTTGAGCCCCACATTGGGCTCCACGCTCTGCAGGAAGCCCATTTCTCCCTCTGCCACTCCCCCTAATTGTGTTACCTCTCTCGCTGTGTCTCTCCCTGTCAAATAAATAAGTAAAAATTTTAAAAATAAATAAGTAAATAAATAAATAAACTGTTAAAAAGGTAAAAGTTGCTAAACATCATGTTTTTAGTTAATTAAAACATTTGGAGAGAGTTAAATATTTGTTTAGGAAAAATGATACAGTTTAGTCTGTAAGCATATGAGCTCCGAAGCCCCTTTGCCTGAGTTTAAACCTCAGCCTGTCTACTTGCTGGCTGTGTGACTTATTCAAGTCACTACCTCTCTCTATCCCTCAGTTTTCTCATCTGTAACGTAATGTTTAACTATCTCAGAGATGGGATGAGGGGAATTAAGTGAATTCATCTACATAAAGCACTTAGCAGACAACTAGCTTATTATAAGCACTTTATAAAATGTTTGCTTTTAATTATTTTAAACCTTTTTAATCCAAGGTTTTAATAAACATTTTAAAATAAGATCTACCCCCATATAATCAATGTTTACCAATGACATCGAGTCAGACATTCTTGCTTTGGATTAATTGGAAATACCCAGAGTTTGTTTGTTTGTTTGTTTGTTTTAGGTCTTTGTAACATGTCTCCCGATTTCACTAGTAAATTTATACTTTTGTCTCTTTAGAGACACAATTAGCTATTTCTTGGCTCTGGCGCTATTTTAAAAAGAAGCCCTAGCCTTAAATCAGGACCCTGAGAATTCATTCTTACGTGCTTCCATTTTGCTATGTCCCATAGGTTTCTCCCACCTTGATGTAATGCTCGTGGAATGCTATGACCCAAAAGGTGACCAGTGGAATATTCTCCAAACTCCCATTTTGGAGGGTCGAAGTGGTCCTGGCTGTGCAGTGCTCGATGACAGCATCTACCTTGTGGGAGGCTACAGCTGGAGTATGGTATGTGTCCACATTTACCTCACCCTCCTCCTCTCTGTCTTGTTCTTGCTTTGTGTTTCCCTCCATGTGTGTTACCATCCACGCAGAAACCTTTGAAGAGTATCGTGTTTTGGGGCACCTGGGTGGATCAGTTGATTAAGCATCTGTCTGCCTTTAGCTTGGGTTGTGATCTTGGGGTCCTGGGATTGAGTCCCTCATCCGGGTCCCTGCTCAGCAGGGAGCCTGCTTCTCACTCCCCTCTGCTGCTCCCCCATCTGCTTGTGCTCTCACTCTCTCTCTCAAATAAATTAATTTAATTAAATCTAAAGAAAAAAGTGTGAGTATCATGCTTGTATGCAAGCTATAAGTTACTTCAAGTAATAAAAAACAATCAGTGAATTGTTGTCGAACTGACTTGCTCTCTCATCCACTGTTTCCCGAAATGTGGTTGGTTCTCCGCCTCTATCCTGTGCGCATGCCTTTGTGATTCTGGCTTTCCAACTGAAAGTGAGACGGAAGTGGTTTTACAAACTTTCTGTTGAAATTGTTTGCAGAGTTGGTTGAATTGTTTGAATTGTCCAGAAAGTTTCTGACCAGGGAGATATAAAAACTAGAAATTGTCTCTTTAGGATATATAATTTGCCATTGCTTTTGACTTTGGCCTGTCTTTATCATGAAAATTTCCAAGCTCACACACACAAAAAAACGAGAGTACAGTGGACTCTCGTAAACCCAGCCTCCGGCTTCAACATCTGTCAAGATTTTGCTCTACTTTATCTGTCCTCCCTTTTAAACATTTTGACTAAAGAAATCTGAAGCAAATTCTAGACATCATATTATTTCACCCTAAATGATTCAGTACTTATCTTTTTAAAAAATCATTCATGTGTTTAAACATACCATCAACACACCCAACAAAATTAACAATAATTCCTTCATATCTAATCTATATTCAAATGTTTCCTATAGAAATATATATTCCAAGTTGATATGTTCAAGTCAGGATCCTATAGTCTCACTTGTATTTGGTTATTATATCTCATCCATCTCTTGCAATCTGGAAAATTACCCCACTCCACTTCTTCTTCCATACATTAACTTGTAGAGAAAACAAAACAAAAACCAGGGTCAGTTATCATTGAGAAGAGCTGGTGTTCTGAATGGGCGAATGATGACCTTGCGAGGTCATTTAAAACAGTCTCTGTCTCTGTATGGACTATAAAACAGACACTTAGGCATAAGGACTTAATAATTAAGATCAGCTTTTTTCTGTTTAAAATTTCTTCTGTTCTTTTTTTTTTCTTTTTTTGCCAACAATACCTGAGGAGGTGGCCACGTAGTTGGAATTATATCACATGAGAGCCTTATAGGGCCCTGTGGTCAACATATTCATTTTTTAAATGATGACCGTGTTCATATTTTCTTAGTTATAGATTGGCGTTACAAGATTAAATGGGGGTTTATTTGTTTTGGATCAAACAAGGTTGTTAGATAAAGTTGGGTTTTTTTAAGATTTTATTTACTTATTTGACAGACAGATATCACAAGTAGGCAGAGAGGCAGGCAGAGAGAGGGGGGGAAGCAGGATCCCCACTGAGCAGACAGCCTGACCCGGGGCTCGATTCCAGGACCCTGGGATCATGACCTGAGCCGAAGGCAGAGGCTTTAATCCACTGAGCCACCCAGGCGCCCCTGTTAGATAAAGTTTTGGGGGAGTTTTCAGTGGATATTAGTTATATGGAGGCAAATATATATTGATATACAGTAACTAGATATTCAGACCTGTGCTTGATCGCTGGGACACATGAGTAAGCTCCAAAAGCGTACGCATTTGGAACCAGACACCAGCAGTCCACTTTCAAAAACTGATGACTAGGCTGTTTAGAATTTTTGGGTTTTGCCTATGATAAAAACCAAATGGGTAAAAAAAAAAAAAAAATACAGGTCTGGTGATAGAAGGGAAACGTTACACAAGCACTACCCCGAGACGTTAACAAAGGAAACAAGATTAAAGACATTTTTTATTTCTCATGTGGCCACTTGAAAATCAATCAGTCAATCAATCAATCAATGTGCAAAGAAGTTGGCAAGCCCACTTTTCCAGTTTATTTTAAGCTAGTTTTGAATGCCAACTCTGATTCTCTATGGTAGTAAAATGAAAATGGAAGAGTGAGGCAACTATCTCAAATCCATTGTACTGAAACTATTTGAAAAATTAAAGATGGGTTTGTGGGGTGCCTGGGTGGCTCAGTGGGTTAAAGCCTCTGCCTTCGGCTCAGGTCATGATCCCAGAATCCTGGGATCGAGCCCTGCATCGGGCTTTCTGCTCAGCAGGGAGCCTGCTTCCTCCTCTCTCTCTGCCTGCCTCTCTGCCTACTTGTGATCTCTATCTGTCAAATAAATAAATAAAATCTTTAAAGACGAGTTTGTTTGTTTGTTTGTTTGTTTTTAACTTAAACCAGCTGGACAAATTCAAGTTTTTGGTCAATTATTTTAAAGGATTTGCTGTTCATTTAGGTGTTGTAGGCACTTGACTGTTATTATTAATAACACACACACACACACACACACAGATTTTGGAATCTCTTGACTCTCAAATTTCCTCTTCGAATAAAACAGTTTAAAATCCACTGCTTTCAGGGAGAGGGTGGTGGGGTTATGGACATTGGGGAGGGTACGTGCTATGGTGAGTGCTGTGAAGTGTGTAAACCTGGCGATTCACAGACCTGTACCCCTGGGGCTAAAAAAACATTATATGTTTATTTTTAAAATTTTAAATTTTTTTAAAAATTTAAAAAAAAATAAAATCCACTGCTTTCATTTGGAACTTTTCAGCAAGAGCAGAGAATTGATGTTTTCTTTCCAATGTAAATGTGATAAATAAGATTGTTGTCACACTTCTCTGAACATTCTTCCCTAAATGCCCCCTGCTCTGCCATTACAGGGGGCCTACAAGTCATCTACAATATGCTATTGTCCGGAAAAAGGCACCTGGACAGAACTGGAAGGAGATGTAGCAGAACCACTGGCAGGCCCAGCCTGTGCAACGGTTATCCTGCCTGCCTGCGTCCCTTACAACAAATAACACCAGCAAGCCCTGGAATGGACAATATCACATTCTAGGAGACAGTGACAGGTGACATCGCGATCATACTAGGAACAGTGCATTCTAATGGTATAACTGCCGGAATCCACCCTTGGTTTCTAACAATATTTCCAAGTAACTACAAAAGAAAATGACCTGTTCTTGAACAGATAACCGTGTCTGGAACTCGGATCACACCAAACGTGCTGTGGTGACAGATGCTTCCATTTCAGACTGGTTTTAATTCGTCCCAGCTTTCCAAAAACTCCTCACATGGATTTTAACTTTCAAAAGGAGAAAGATAAAATTTGGAAGAGTGCCCCCAGAGAGACCTAAGATCAGTATTGTGCATTGTAGTCTACCTGCATGTGATCTATGTTGAAGTTTTGGGGATATTGTGTTCATGAATGATTCAGAATTTGACCCACTAAAATATTTACTGCATCACAGGAATTGCCACTTGATTTTATATTCCTAACCTGTGGCTACTTCACAGACTCCATAGGCAACACAATTGTAGAAAATCATATGAGATTGAAGAGGAACATGTTTGTTTCTATAGATCTTCATTTCATTTACCTTCTGCCCCTCACAGCACCCCATGGGATCAGAGAAGAGAAAGATGTTGGTTCTTGTAGCAATTGCTTCCTGCCCTGTAGGTTCTAGGCCAGCCAGTCATAATCTGTGTCCTCAATTTTATATGAAAGATTAAAGCAAAATATATTATGTCACTGTTCATTCCAAAAAGGCTCAGGTTTTTCTCATTTTTTACAGTATATAAAAAAGTAGTGAACACACCTGTCATTTCCTCCAAAAAGTAGGACTGAAAAAATTGCTTGTCCAATATTGAAGAGATTCTTATTGGTTAACACATCTGACCCAAACTGAACCCATAATGAAACTGGGAGATGCCTTTCAGGAATTCAGGGATAGAAAAAATAATAATTTCTTTTAAGTACAATCCCGGTTGTCTCTTTGTCCTGAAGACACACAACTTAAAAGAGCCATGAGAGTGAATCATCCCTCTTAACAAATATTTCTCCCTCTTCCTCACCTTTGGCTCTAGAAATGGCTCTAGATTTGACTCTAGAAAAGCACATGACTCGCCCTGATTGTTCTCCAACTCATCATACTCCTTTGTTATCACCAAAGATGCCTGAGCTCAGTTAGGTGAGCAATTGCTAGTTGTCTTTAGGAGCAAGAGGAAATTAGGAGCAGAAGGTCAGGAGAGCATGAGATGGTTTTCGGTGCGGCCAGTCAACAGAGCAAGACTGGAAAGAACATAAATTTGATTTTCAAGCCCTTCGGAGCTGGAACAAAAACAGTTAAGAGTAAATACTAGCCTAAAATATTTCCTCATCACCCAGGGGTATTGTTGAATCCCTTAACAAATGTGTCATTCGAAACAACAACGTGGGGAAGCCACAGATTAAAAATGCTTTGGTGATAAACTTTCACCGTGGAGCATGTCAAGATAGATGGGCGTACTGGCATCTAATGCCTTTTCTGCAGTAAAGTGCAATCTTTGTTGTTTTTGTATTTATTTGTATGTTCAGATCCAAAGGATCCGTTGTAAAAATATATATATAAATATATATATATATATATATATATATATCTCCAGTGCAATCAACTTGCATTTCTTTTTCCTTGAAAACATACAATACAGAGAAGGAAAGAAAAGTTACAGTACTTTGCGGGGAAGATCGTAGCTGGCGTGCTGAAGAGAACAAGGTCGGCTTCAGAAACTTTGATTGTCAACCGCTACCATTTCTTCTGAAAGTCACAGTTTATACGAGGATATCCGCCTTCCTTAGACTTGTTCTTCACTTATTTTTTATTTCTAGCCAAAATAAATAAGAGCATTTATGAGAACTGTAAGTAAAGCTTTCTGTATTTCAGAAAGGCACAAACTATTAGAAGTGAAAAGTGAGTACTTACGTCACAGAGATTGTAAATTTTGTACAGTATTAGAATGTGTAAATGAAGCTTGCTTGGAAGGGGAAAACTTTAAATAAAAACTTTATGTACTAACTCAACTGTCTCATATTCCTACCTATAAGGCATACGTATAAATCTCTGTCTCATATTCCTACCTATAAGGCATACGTATAAATCTCTATGGTGAATTGTTTAAAGGTTTACAATATGGAAGTGCCTAAATATTGTTATTCTGCTGATATGCTTTGCAAGTTTATTTAGCTTCCTGGCAACATGTAAATGTATATGGTATGGACGATGCAAAAAATGGTGAAATGCTTCTGGAAAAAAATGTTGTGAGTTCAAAATTATGACTAGAGGGGTGCCTGGCTGGCTCAGTCAGTATAGCATGTGACTACTGATCTTGGGGACGTGAGTTCAAGCCCCACGATGGGTGAAGAGCTGACTTAAAAAAATGAGTTTTTTAAAAATCATGAGTAGCATCTGATTTATCCACTGCAAGAGTGCTGTGATGAGACATAAGTGACCGAAGATCTAATAATTAAATACTTATGTGGATTATAAGAAGCACCATATGTATTAAACAGTACTTGCAAAAAAAAAAAAAAACAGTACTTGCACACTTTCTAAAGAATAAGTGAATCACGCACTAAATTAGATCAATTATCTTAAAACATAGTACTTAAATGTATTTTCTTTTTAAAAAAATCTGAAAAGGAAGTGCAGGGGAAGAAAGAGCTGTGGGAGACAGTAGGGGAAACTGAGGTATGTAGCTGCAGATAGAAGTTGGGCAACCTTCTAGGCAAAGAGCTATAAAGGGTTGGAAACAATTTCCTGAAGCCCGCAAGAAAAAATTTACTTTAATTTTTCCCAGCTAAATGGACCTTTATTGATAACTAAACTCACAATTAAAGGATCATTTGATCCCTCCTGGTATTCCATGAAAGCAAGAGTAATGGGGTTTCTCTGTTCTTCTGCTGGCTCTCCAGCTTTCAAAGCTTGCTCTCTGTGGTGGCCTCTGGTACCATCTTCTCCTGAGCCAACTGACTAGTTGTTGCAGGGCTTCTTCCAAATGCCCTGTATCCCCAAAAGCTCTAGTACTGACCAGATACCATGGGCAGTTAAGCAAAAACATCTCTTTTTCCTAATCCCAAGGAACCACCTATTTTAAGTCTGTAACTAGACTGGCAAAAACTGGGAGAGTGAGCATGGGGACCAGGTTTTTTAATTAATTAAGCTGTGTTTGTAGGTTTAAAATTAGTACCTGTGTTAGTGCTCTCCATTAGGGCCAAATTTATATTTTTCCCAACTGCTTGATACTTACATCACCTAACAAATTGTCATCATTATCGACATTAAAAGTATCAAGTATTTATTATTTTTTTTTCTAAGATTCTATTTATTTACTCAATAGACAGAGATTACAAGCAGTCAGAGAGGCAGGCAGGGAGAGAGGAGGAAGCAGGCTCCCTGCTGAGCAGAGAGCCCAACGTGGGGCTTGATCCCAGGACCCTGAGACCATGACCCGAGCCAAAGGCAGAGGCTTTAACCCACTGAGCCACCCAGGTTCCCCAAAAATATCAAGTACCTATTTATTGAACATAACCCAAAAGGCATCACTATAAATGCCAGAGTTCTCATTAAACTTGGTTCTCTGGGTCAAAGTATTTTTTTAATGAAATAGAAAATGAGCTAAAATAAGGTTGGTAAAGCATCCCAAAGCCAATTAAAACACACGGGCAAGTAACGTGAAAGACTGATCTCCTATAGATGAGGTAGCGGGAAGATCAAGACTGATCCAGCCTGACTTCCAAGAAGCACCTGACCTAGAGGATGTTGAAACTGTGATAGGAAATAAAATGGCAGGGCACCTGAGTGGCACGGTCAGTTAAGCATCAGACTCTTGATTTCAGCCCAGGTCATGATCTCATCGTCATGAGATTGAGCCCTGTGTAGGGCTTCATGCTCAGCGTGGAGTCTGCTTGAGAGTCTCTCCCTCTACCCCTCCCTCCACTCACACTCATGCTCTCTCTCTCTCTAAAATAAATAAATCTTTAAAAAAAGAAAATAGCAATGAGAAGAAGCAGAAAGGTCAATATAAAAAGATATCTAAGTAGTATGTCTTTTTTGTGTGGTTGCACTGTATACAGCTACTCTGGTTAGTACAGTAAATACAGGCCAAGTAGTGGATGGGGTTCTTAATGGAGATATTCTACATGTTGAGTTTACGGCTTGGCGCAGTAGCAAAATGTTCAGTTCTACAGATGAGTATGAAAAATACCCTTCAAGAATGCAACACAATGGTGTAAGAATAAGAAAAAAGTCTACAAATTGAAGTTTGAGTGGCTTATTCTACTCTAGGTTATTGTCTGGCATATATTAAGGACTCAGTAAATGTCAGTTCTTAACATTAGCATGATTAATATTAACCCTAGTAGTAATAGGTAATCTAGCTCACTACTGATGCTAAAAACAGGATGATTGAAGTGAGTTAACATATAGAACTGTTGACTCCTCAGGCTAAAAAATATATAACTTCAGATAATGAGATTCTTGATTCTAACCTCCCCTTCTGTTCTTTATTTATTAGGTTAACTCTTCCTCTGTGGCCTTTCAAATCCCCCATGTAAAACAAAATGACGCATGGGCTGGGGAGGTAAACATTGAGCTGCAGGATGAAGTCATCCTACATTTAGAGAGATGGAGGGCTTCTTGCTTCCAGACAAGTCACTCAGATCCAGGACATTTGAGGGGGGGACCTGGGGGCACAGTTGGTTAAGTGTCTTTCTTCAGCTCAGGTCATGATCACATGGGTCTTGGGATGGAACCCCATATAGGGCAGCCTGCTTCTCCCTCTCCCTGTGTCCCTCTCCTCCCCCATTCAAGAGCAGTCCTCTTGCCTGCTCTTTCAGATAAATAAATAAAATCTTTAAAAAGGAACATTTGAAAATTGAACTAAATTAGGAAAAAAGGAGTAAGAGAAATAGGGTTTGGTTGTTAATTCAAAGTTATTATGTCAACAATATTATAATAACATAACACTTCCACTGATTGAATGTTTATTATGAATTAGGTATTATGCTGGCATTTTATACACGTTTTCTCATTTACTCCTCTGAAGAGTTCCATAAGGTAGATATTATTCATAGATTAGAGGTCAGGACAATTTGGCTCAAAAAGGGTAAACTGTGTGATAAGGTTAAAGAGCTGATACGTTGTAGAGCTAGGAATGGAACCAAGACTTTAAACTTAAGTCATCCTCTGACCACCATCTTCTTCCAACAAAGAGACTTCCTAAGTCAACCATTTGAAGTCATGTAGGAACTCTTGATGAATTTGTCCTAGATGAAGAAGATGTGCTGGAAGGGAGAGTGAAAAATTAATGACGACGCATCATGGCAAATGCTATCTATGGCTGGTGTAAATTAACTACAGGGAAGTGCAAGACTGGGCAAAAGGAACTTGTTCTGTGACCCTGGGCGGTCATTGAGCTTCTCCAACTTGAG